GGCACAACCCACTCCGGGACAAAACCCACCTTCGACACTAAACAATCCAGAGGACCTATATTCGCATCCTGTCGCATTTAGACAGTGGCACTACAACTCTAGAGTGAAGACACGTCTTCCCACGCACTCGTCGCGCCAACGAGCCCAGAAACTATCGCAAGACTCATACTCTCCACGTGACCACCTATCTGGAGTGCGCTATCACGAGCCGAAAAGAATAACCTGGGTCATACGCTTGCTTCCCACTAGCGGAAGCACTAAGACTGAATCTAGAAAGACTAACACTGGAGAATCGACCCAACACCGCGCCACCGTGGCGAGCCGAGTCTTTCACGGAAATTAGGTCGAGTCAGACTGGGAGACGCGAGAGAACGTGCTGAGACTGTTAGGGCCACATCCGACCTGATCGTCTACTCGGATGCCTCGGGGCGTGAAGGTTACCAGGGAGCCGCCGTCGTAGCACTCGAGACAATCTCGAGATTATAGAATCCAACAGGTCCAGGTAGGACCGATGGACCGATGGTTAGTCCATGTAGCAGAGTTAATAGGCATTTTTCGCGCTATCAGCTAGGTATTCAAGCTCGCCCATAGCTGCCCCAGAGCAGGTGGCGGAATAACAACAGCAACGATCCTCTGTGACAGCAAATCCGCCTTGCAAGCAATCCAAAACCCAGGAAACCAATCAGGCCAATAAGTTATCCATGCGATCCTCCATGAAGCGGCAGAGGTTCAAGCCCGGAATATTGTACTCCGCCTGCAATGGCTACCGGGGCACTGTAAAAATATAGTGAACAACGCAGCAGATCAACTGGCCAAAAACACTGCACACTCAGGCAAAACGCACCCCTTCCGTCCCCTGCTTACAAGGAGGAAGGAGTTTATCCGAAGCAAGACCCTCGCTCAGTGGGAGCAAGAATGGACATCTACAGCCAAGGGTAGTCACCTACGGAGAATCGACAACACATTCCCAGCCACCTACACTAGAAGACTATATGGGAACCTACCGAGGAAACGTGCATACCTGCTAATGCAGCTACGAACGGGCCACAGCTGGTTGTCCACCGACGCCAAGGCTCATCAATTTCGTGGCAACAATCACTGCGCGTGCGGCGCGCAAGAGACGGTTACCCATATGCTGGTGGACTGCCCTAAATTAAGGGAATTGCGAAGGGAGTTGAGGAGAGAAGTTGGGGACGCGTTTAATTGCACGTCGAATCTCCTGGGAGGCTTAAAAAAAGGTAAGAAATGTAAACCAGACAACCGTCTCACGGGCCCGGACTGTCAAGGCCGTCTTGGACTTCGCAGAGGTGTCACAGCGGTTCTGAAGTCGCGCGCCACGAGGGCAGCCTAACAATGGGAACGGCAATTAGGCCACGACAGGCCTTGACAAGGCTCTAAGTTCGTTTTTTAGGAAGTCGTGCACTCTACATGTACATACAGGGATATACATAGTTGAGGTAGCCTGCATATCGCTTTGGCGAGAGGTCAGGGTAAGAAATCCATCCATCCATCCTCCATCCATTCTGTACGCTGAGCTTGATGACCGTTCAGTCATCGATTTGCGTCTTTTTGGCTGTGGCGTAGTGGTAAAGCTCAGCACTACTATGCAGTCGGACTTAGGTCCTCACACTAGGCCCTGGCACGGTGCAGCATCCAGTGTCTAAAATTTCTTTCCATCCCTTCTAGGCCTCAGCAGGCCTGAGCCTGAGCAGAGCATGTTTAATTCGGCTTGGTAATCTGTGGTCTCGACCTTCGACGAAACAATGAAACATGATATTTTGCCATCTCTCCCGAGCCGGGGCCTAGACGTCGCCAAATCGCGGGTTGGGTTTCGGCAACCCGACCCAAAACCCGCCAAAAAAAATAAATATTCGGAGGCGGGGGGGTGCGGCACTAATACGGTAATATATACACCTAGTTATTATAAATCTTCACATTAAACTTTCAGAATTTCATATGCATTACCGTAATTTATTAGGCTTTGGATTCTTGGCGGATTTCTGGGTAACCCAAAAAGCAATATTGCGAGGTCTTGTTACTAGGATCCACTTCAGTCCTTCCTCTCCTTAAACAGCTTCGGGAATTGTTTCTAGCAGCCCCACACAAGCGTTATTACATAGCCCCCGCACTCAGACTGCCCTAACCACTTGTGTATAGTAGATATATTATAAATACAATTGGTTAAATAGTATATGACTATTTTTATATTGTCACGAGTCCCAGAGCCTGGCCCATAATCCAGCCCCTTAAATTGTGACTCCGTGAGTAACCATACCAAGAATTCATCTCTGCCAAATGTTCCAGATGTTTACAGCAGTCTCGGGATTGGATTCTTTCTCTGCTAGGATGTCTTTCTGTCCCACATACATAGCATGAACTCCACAATTTTAGTGTATGGCCGATGAGGTGGTGGACCTACGGTCCTGACCCCATGACCAAGGTCACGGGACCCACACACATATACGTGGACGGAGTTGATCTCTGAAGGATTTCCTCCTTCCTCTCTTCGTGCTTAGTTTTCTTTCTAATATCAATCAATATCTTCTACGGTTGAACCCTTACATGTTATCGTAGTCTGGGCATCTCACAGGCGATAGCGGAAGCTGGAATAGAGCTCGGCAAATATCCGCAGGTTATCTGTTATCTGCAGATATTCCCAGCTCTACTTATCTAAGATAGCTTAAATAAGTTTTTGTCTTTTTCACTTACATGCATGTAACAGGTGGGTCCTTTCAAGAGCTTTTTTAGAGGTGTGTATAAATACATTCAAAGACTCTGAGCAACTAGATGTCAGGGCTTAGGTCGAACCCTGCCTGAGGCACCAAGTCTGCTTTATTCACTGTTGATCGCACAATGTAGAGATTTCCCACATTTCCGGTACGATAGAATTCTTTCTTTCTTTCTTTCTTCTCTACGTTTGATGTTTCGTTAGATCGCCACCTTAGATATAATCTATCCATTTTACCAAGGTGTATAGGATCATCACAATGCGAGCATAGTAATCCTGAGGGGGAATGTTGTGAATCAAGACCGGATCTGTAGAAGAGCTTCATACATGAAATAGATTCTAGAACCTGATTGATTGGAAATTAATCCAGTGTTCACCTTTTATATAAGCCCTCGGGTTTTAAATGAGAATACGACAATTAATCTTTGAGTTACAACGGCGTTGAAAGGTGGTAGTTTGTTGCATTACGCGGTGCGTTGCATGACCCCGTGATCTACGTTCAAGCTCAATTGGTTTGAATTAACGTTGCCGCCCATCTGCCGCCCGTTCCCGCCTGCCGCCCGATTGCTCTTACTGTCTGATTATGTGGGATATTGGTACGGAGGTGAGAATTGAATGTATTCAGAAGGATATTCTGCCCAACCCCTCTATGAGGAGTATTGGGTATATATATTCACATGATGTCCCAATATGGACTAGCTTTATTCTGACACTTACTCACCGACTTTTAGACTTCATGTTTTCAACACCTCATATATCAACGAATATGGATCCAATTGAAGCGGCAATAGAAGCAATCAATTCGTTGGAACCTGGAGAAACGATCAATTATACTAAAGTTGCGAAAGAGTTTGATATTGACTGACATACACTGCGAAGACATCAAGGAAAACAGCAGTCAAGGAAGCAGCAATATGAGGACCAGAAACTACTCAACAACCAGCAGGCCAAAGCTCTTATTAAATATATCAATGAATTGACAGAGCGAGGCCTTTATATCTCACATGAAATGCTACGAAATTTTGCAAAGGATATTACAGGAAAGAAGCCGGGAAACCACTGGCCGGAGCGATTTCTGAAGCGATATAAGGATGATATTGACAGCAATATGACATCAAGCATGGATAAGGCACGCCTCCGCGCCGATTCTGCAGCTAAATATGACAAATATTTCAAGATGCTAGCTCAAAAAATTGCACAATATCAAATTCAGCCGGAAAATATGTGTGACGGCCAAGCAACTCGATGAAATTGGTGCTATCTAACGAAAATTTCAAGCGTGGGGAGGAGGAAGAAAGGTGGTGAGGGGACTATGCGGGGAGATAAACAAAGCTAGATACAAACAATGCAAAGAGGCTACATGGTGAGTTCGTCACAATATGTACAATATGGATGAAAAAGGCTTTCTTATTGGAATCTTGCAGAAAGGCAAAAGAATCTTTTCACGTCGCCAATTTGAGCTAGATGGCTCCAAGAGACGCCTACAAGATGGCTCTAGAGAATGGATTACTTGTATAGCCTGTATTTGCGCTGACAAGACCTCGCTGACCCCGGGATTGATATATCAAGCTGCTTCAGGCAATATTCAAGATTCCTGGGTACAAGACTTCAAATAGAGAAACACCACTGTTTTTTTGCATCATCACCATCTGGTTGGACAAATGACGATCTAGGATACGCATGGCTTACGAATATCTTTGATAGAGAGACTAAAAGTAAAGCGCGGCGGCGCTGGAGGCTTTTAGTACTTGATGGCCATGGTTCTCATGTCAATACACGCTTTCTTAATTACTGCATGGACAACAAGATCTTTGTAATGACCTATCCACCTCATTCTACGCATACGCTGCAGCCTCTTGATGTCAGTATCTTTGCACCGCTTGCCCGGACATACAGTGACAATCTGGAGGCATTTTTATATGAATCTCAAGGTTCTGCAGCTAGCAAGCGGGATTTCTTCCGCCTGTTCTTTCCCAGTTGGGAAAGAGCTTTTCACCAAAAAATATTGAATCTGCATGGAAATCTTGCGGTTAGACCATGGAACCCGGAGATTGTTTTAGCGATTTCAAAAAGAGGAAGTGAGGCCATCACCAGCTCTTCAACCCGCTCTATCTTAGCTGCAATGACTGGCAACGCATTGAAACAAGCTAGAGCAAGCTGTTGCTAATGTACTTAATAAGAACACCCAGAAGCTTATTGCTACGATGCGTAACCTCTGTACAGAGAATATCTTGCTTAAGAATAATGCAGCGGCCTCGAGAACGCCTTGTCAATGAAACAAGAACGGCAGCGAGGAAAGCCTTTACTCTTTGAGCTTCGCGCTCCTGAAAATAGATATGCGGTGTTTTACTCACCTAACAAAGTTCAGCAAGCGCTGGAACTTCAGGCAGCCAAGGATCGTGAGATAGAGCTTGCTAAAGCTTCAAAAGAGCAAGACAAGCTTCGCCGTCAGCAGGAAAAGGAGGAGAAACAGCGCTTAGTTCAAGAGAGAAAGCAGAATCGAGAAACTCAGCGTGTAAAAAAGCAGCAAGAGATGGAGGCAAAGCAGCGGAAGAAAGAGGAAGCGCGGATCGCTAAGGAGGCCTCTGTACAGCTTCAAAATGACTTTAGATCTGTTAAAAAGAGCAAGCCTAAGACAGCTAAGCGTTCTACAGTTCAAAATACTGCAGATATCGCTCCTACGCTGCTTGATGAGGTTGTACAGACCCCTACGCCTACAAACCGTCGAGGCCGGCAGATCCGCCTCCCACAACGCTTTCGCGATGCTTAAAATTTGAATGTAGCAACTTTAGAACCTCAAAAACACTATACTAGGATATCTAATTAATATACTAATACTATGTAGCTCAAAAGCTTCATTTTTTGTTGGTGGTGCAGAACGTTGAAATCGGGCGGCAGGCGGGAACGGGCGGCAGATGGGCGGCAACGTTAAGGCTCGATCAGGTAACCTATAGAGCTTCATATGCAGAATAAATTCCGTACAAAATGAGATTTATTGAGAACCATCTGATTTCCATCTTGCATATAAACCCCAAGTTTACAGACGAGAAATTATTAATCTTCTGAAGTACAACAATATATATTGCTTTCCGTCTTCGTGTTCTATTTCCGCTAAATTCCAGATCACACCCGCCTTTTTTTACGTACCCATCAGTTTTCCTGACACCAGTAGTTCATCGGAATTCTGGTAAATGCTGGCGATGTTGCCCTAGTTTCTGATGTTGGCGCTCTCTGTAAGATCGCTGTGCATAAGAACCAGGGCTTTTAACCAATTGCTATTGTTGTGGAACTCAGGGGAAGTGGTGCGCAGGGAGCTATTCTATCAACTACAGGCCAACTAGCCTAATTAGGAAGTAGATGTCATTCAGTGGAAACACCAGGAATCATAGTATCTCAACCAACTGAGTCTCTTGCATTCCTATCTGGGTGCTCAACTAATTATCTAAAGGATTCAGGGGTTGAATCGATTACTCCGCACCGCCAAGTCGGGCGGATTATAGTGTTTCCGTAACTACGGCAAGCCATTACGTCCACTCCGCAACAAAAATAATTTCTCATTTTCTGCCGGCAGAACCATCCCATGTGACTTGCTTGGTTTCACCATATAAATGGCTACTAGTCCTAAGCACCACGTAAAGGTGCAAGTCATGCTTAGGTGTTGTACACAGGGCCTGTACAACTAGGCGTGCAGGTGCTGGTATTAATTCTTGTGCATGTATATAAATCATTATACCTACCTAAAGAAGAATAGGATGATTCTTATCCCCCTCCCTCCCTTCTCCTCCTCGTTGTCTAATAGAGTAATCGGATTCTCCTGTTCACCTTCTTCAGCGTCTAAATTAATTGGATGCTGCTAAGAGGAACCGATTGCCTGCTGATGCTCTCCTCCAGTACCCAGGCCAACAGCCCGCTCTTGTAGTCTATCCAGTGGATATGCTACGGACCGCCAGAGCTCATCCCGTACAGTACAGCGGGCAGCCAGATCCGGCTATTTGCAGTTGGCGCATGCACTACCGAATACACCTGGTACATGGCGACATTCGGTAAACGGACGCATACCTTGTGGAGTGCGGCATCTCTCACAAGGCACTGGCAGTGTCCGCCCACGGGATTGAATAAGCAAGGCATTAATATACGACGGACGATGCTGCATAAGATAACAAGGAGTTATCCTGCCGCGGATAAATATAATGTCTTGCCCTGGAAGGGCCAGCAGCTGCTGACCTATATCAGTATGTACGTAGTTGGCCAAGAGATTGGACTGGCTTGTTGGCAAGACTGGATTCTGTCCAGCAGGCAGGCTCTTGTACATATAGTGAAACCAGCCATCCAATGTAAAAGCTGGAGGGGAGGGGGACACAGCGACGGTTGTTATTATTAAACCTATATAAAGCATTAAAATTAGCCAACAAAATCTTGTCTAATTATTATAAAAATTTAAAGAAATGTTGGAAATCAGGATGCCTAAGGCACCTTCGTATATCCTAGTTCCGTAGGGATCTGATATATCGCACGCAAGGGGCTAAAGGACACGTAGACATAAGGAAGCGTTTATCTACGCTTCCTCTCCAAGATAGAACATACTCACCATGCGATACTAGATCGCACCGATAGTTTCAATATACTATCCAGTCACCGCTATCCTAGCACCTCACGACATAGCTTCTTCCCCAAGATTCTCAACAAGAAACACTTATTATGCTAAGTTTAATCATCTCGCCAAGTTTTATGTACGTACAACATTCTGGTGGGGGTAAAAAGGGGGTAAAGGTGGTAGAGGTAGTAATTGTAGTGGGATTTATGTAGAAAGGTAAGAGAATTTAGAGGGTCTCTACAATTCTGTACAAAACATTCACTATATTTTTTCTGCCTAAGGCTGTATATATTCAAATACCTCACTTATTTTCAAAAAAAGGGCCATATTCCTTTATCCTCTCCTTATCCTTCTCACCTAGTGCATACTTCTTTCTTGTACGGTAAGCCAGCTCACTTGGAGACGAATCCTTTTCTGTACAAAAAAACGAATTACCTGGTGATGAAGATTGAATAGATCTTTTTCAAGAGATAGGTAAAGTAAAAGTCTGTTCAGAGCTTTCTCTTAGAAAAAGAGGATCTTTCTCCTTTTTTTTTGTTTTTCTTTTTTGACCTTAACCTTCTCTTCCTCTTTTTTAATAGGAATGTTATTATTGTACGGTGCAAGATAGCGCTTAATTACCAAGAAGATTTAGTAGTCTCTCTCACCATTGACCGTACAATATTCAAACCAAAGTAAGTAGGTCCTCAATTGCTAGACGTCCAGATAGTGTATAGCTAATAAACGTTGGTGCCCGTCCTTTAATTTTGGTAGCTAGTCGAAATGTCTCGTCCTCCTCTTTTCTATAAAGAGGATGTTTAATTATGCGAGGTAAAAGATCTTCAGAGATAAACTCTTTAATATTATCAACCGTACGCGCAGTAATTCGGATCTAAATCCTATCTTATTTTGTTAGCATTGACTATTTTCTTATAATCTTTATACTAACAATTTCACTTAGTGTTTTCGATGCTCTTGGATCGTCCATATTAATGACCCGACGATAATATGCCACTGTAGCTTTGTACGAGGTTGGACGGGTGATATGTTGCTGTCTGCTCCGTCTAGATAATAGTTGAAATACTGGCTGCCGCTGTGATGTACGGGGATAAGAAGAGAATTGTTGGGAGATAGATAATGCATGAGATGTACAGGAAGGAGGAGAATTAGTTAAATAATTAAAATAAGGTAAAGCGCCACAATCAAGACATGCTTCACCTTCTAGATAACTGACCGGTCAGGCCACAAACCTTGACCAAGGTGGCCGCATTTGCAAAGAGAATTATAAGTCTGTACAGATAAAAGAGAAACAGAGAGAATAGGAATCTGTACAAGATATAAAAAAGATACTTTGTTTGCTATGCCATGTCAGGCTCCCAGTCAAGCGCCCCAACCGGTCGACTTAGTAATCCCAGTACGGGCTCAGACTGCATATTAATATGCAAGGTGATAGCCTCACGTAGCTGCAGATATTCAGTACAAAACGGTATTGGATCGGCATCCAGTCCATTTGGCAATATATTTTCAGGGTCAAAGCCCATCCCCGAAGCTGTGTACGACAAAATTGCAAGGTTTCTGCAGGAAGATATTAATCAAGCTCTAAATGCTATTAGTAGAAGTTTTGTATAGCTAGGCAAAACATACCATATTCCTGGACATCTCTTTGAAGTCTCTGTACGGTATCATTCTGCACTGGTAGTCCATAATTAGAAATATCTTCATCCGGATAGTGATACAGCATGTACGGCTTGCCAGCAACAGAATTTAGATGTTTTGTTTAGCGTTGAATTCTATGGACATTCCATACTTGGACAAAATTATATGCCTCTGCTCGAATAATAGGCATATAAATACTGTACAAAGCAATCTAATCAGGTATAGAATCCTTTGTAAAAAGACCTTTTTCTTTAAGTGCACGGTGAGCATTCTATAAGCATTAGTATATTCTTATAAAAAAGGATAAAAACATACTCTCTATTTGTACATAGCTGATTCACTTAGCTTTCCCCACCAGGCCTCTATTCTCTGATTCTCTGTACTTAATCCGGTTGTCACGGGCTACGCCTGTATGTTGCTCGGCTTCACCTTCGCTGCGATTGACACATATGATTGGTCCGCTTATCGTAGTCACATGACTCCTTGTAGTATGAGAACGCACACTTCCTCCCCTTCCCTTTCTCCCTTTCAGCGATTCCTCTTTGTGTATATCTAGTTATTAGATAGCAAGGCATTTCGCCCCTTTACACCGGTGATCCAACAATTATTCTCTTGTATAGTAGGATTATGTGCTTGCTGAAGTTGGATATGTGCTGCTTTAAAAAGATTAATCTCCGAGCCATAATCTGATCAAATCAACTTCGGCTGAATCTGTATAGTTTGAACAGTATTAAGATACTGTCGAAGAACAGTAACTGCCGTACGAGCAGAAATCCCACAGTAAATCCAGATTATATAGCGAGAATAGGCATCAATTGCAGTATAAATTTTAATCCCGTACAACTCAAGCTTTAGATATCCATCCACCGACCAAATCCAGTTTGGCCCTGGTACAATATATTCTCCTCGTTGTCTTTGCATATCTTTGTTCCGACGATCAATAGCATCAGGAAGGATTGTACGGTAAATAGAAAAAAGACGATCACTAATAAAAAAAATATTAGCTATAATACTTATTAAAAAAAAAGGTTCGTACCGAGCAATTATATGACCCTGACTGCGTATATATCGATGCAAAAGCTCTTTTCCATATCCCTGGATAATTCCTTTTTCTGCCTCAAGAAGAAGCGCTTGCAGAACCTGCTCTGTTTGAAGTTGCTGCTATTAAGCACCATGTACGCGTCGTAGAAGACCAAGCTTTATGCGGACTCTCCGAAGAGTACAGGGACTTATTGTAAAGCATTCCTTTGCAATGCATAAAGAAGCTCTTTTTCCTCTAGTCCAACCTGAAAGAAAAGCACCTGAATACGAGCATGTAGGCGAGGATCCAAGGTTTTGTACAGTCTTGCTTTTAAGCACCCCATGTTTGAAGGCGAGCCTCTAATATACGCTTGCTGATTTAAATACTGTGCATATCCTTAAGATAAGAAAGAATAAAATCAACTGTTTCTTCTGCTTCATAAAGATTAAGAATATCAGCCTTATACGGCTCAAGATCAATGGATTTGCGACCCATAATGCCTGGTAGTGTAAAGATAAACAGAAGAAAAAGACCTACCTGTACGCAGTAGATATACATCTTCATAATATACTTTATCTTTATGCAGCTAGATTTAGTAGGAAGGCGGTTAAAGGTGCGGTAAGAGAACTTAGCGAGAAATTTGATTGTTGCGGAGTGGACGTAATGGCTTGCCGTACGTAACAGCTATTAACATTAAGGCACCATTTTTAAGATTCTGTATCATGCAACAGTCATGTTTCCCCGCCCAATAAATGCAACATGGGTTGGTCGGGGTGTTGTGAAGGGTTAATACCCACAAAAATCTGGCGCCTGAAAAGCAGCTGACTCTAACATACTGGAATATCGCTGGAACATTTATAGAGGTAATATGGAAAGTAATAAATAACATATAGCCGCTCAAGACGCAGGCCGATCTTGCCATTTCGCACCGGGACACTAAGCCAGTTGGGCGATCTCGATAGCAAGACCAGTAATGTGCGGAATGTCCGTATCTCTAGGGTGATTAAGAGGATTCTGTTGTATAAATAGCCTATGGATTATAAGTGATATATTCTTGAGCAAGTCGACATCACTAGCGGCCTCTGGGTCAAGCGGCCTGCGCAGGACATGGATGTAGAGTACCCCGAGAGCAGTCAAAATGTACCACAGAATGGGCCTGCTATAATGTGTTAGCGTGGGGTAAAAATACGGCACGATTAGGATAGTAATATACGTACCATAAAGCCACATCCCTGAGCAGATGTTCATACACCTTAAGGCAAAGGAGCGTCGAACGGCTTGCGGCAACAGATAGAGCCAAACTGGAACTGATTCCTTGTGGCATTTCGCTATGGGCAACCATCCATTCATTGTATTGGTTAGAGGCGAGGTGAATACGGGCCAAAATAAAGTAATATACTAGCTGCAAAAAAAGCGCATGCATACTGATGTTAGGATTGTCACTAGGAGAGGATAATGTTGGTTGCCAATGTGGTGGTAGTGAGATTCTCCATTGTTCGAGTTCCTCATCCAGCTCCCGAACATGTTTGATAATCGTAGCATCATTAACTTGGACCCGCCTGTTGGAACATAGAGCACTATTAACTCTGGACATGATTATGCTCAATCGCAAATCTACAGGATAAGGAGGTAGCCTGGCAAATAGATCGGAAGGAAGCCTAGACTGTACGCATGGGTCGGAGGCATAGAGACGTTCGATATAGTTTGGTGGTAGCGTGAGATCACACACATCATCATTAATGCTAGGAGGCTCCCCAGTTTGGAGGGACAGCTCTTTGTCGATGGCAAAGCAAAGCCAGAAGAGGGATCGCAAATGTGGTTGTACCGACGATGTCCTTGTGCTAGCAGACCAGCCAGCAGTTGATAAGTCTGGCTCGGAAAATACATATGCACGCAATCCAAATATAAGCCGCGCCGCGAGAGAAGTGAAATACATTGCAGCCTGGACATCCCCCAACTTCTGCTCAATGAATGCCTGTCCGGACGTTAAATGTGAATATACCACGGCACCGTATCCGATGAATAGGAGGAGAAAGTAGGCAGAACACGTACCAGCATGCATAGAGATTGTAGTCCCTCCACGCTGGCAGTCTCGAGTAGAATCCGCGGAAGGAGACTTTGTGCCGCAGTCATATACTGTATACTGTCGAGAGGCACTGTCTCCACCTGTGTACGAAGCACGGAAATAAAAGCGAGAAAAGCAAACACACAGGCTTGTGCACTCGATTTCCCTAGGAGACGGCCATCATCCAACGTACTGTACGCAGTGACAATTGTATCTTGGAACATGGTAGTCTCGATAATGGGGAAAATAAATTTTATATGGGAGCTGCTGTATATCCAAAGGCTCTCGTCCACGACCCTCTTGTCTGGAAGACCTATGTCAGACTGTGACCGTGTCCTCGTGAACTGCTCTTCTGGCTGATTGAGCGCATTTGTTTGAAGCTGCTTATAAACTGTGGTCTGTCTAGCTCGCATATTTACGCAAGGTTTTCTGCCAGAAGTGGCCAAGAGAACTCTTTTCCAGAGGCTCTTGGTTTCTGAGAGGAACCCCGTGTCGTCAGAGCTATTGTTAGCGGGGTTAATACTTCCATTGGCGGCTTCGGAAGAATCACTCTCTGGCACAGCGTAGTCGCTCAGATTCTCATAAGTGGACTCGCATTGCACTTTCCTGATCAGTAATGAGCTTCATGTGTACGGGAGGCTCCACAAACACAATTTGCTAGAATCAGTTTCTATGGTGTCTGCATTCACATCGATTCGACGTCGTGCGTGCGAATGTCTCGGGAGTCTACAGCGGTCAGCAGGCGAAGCATACAGATACTGTAGGATAGCCCTGCATTAGGTTATACCTTCTCTCCCACTCGGTTGAGTTGTCTTGATTGTGCCTTTCAAACGTACAGGAGACGTTATGGATGATACACCAGTTGCATTTGGGCCGCGCCCTGTTGCATTTTACCTAGATAAAGCCCTCAGCTACAAACCAACTTCTTATTTGCGGGTGGTAGAAATTTCTCCCCTGTTTTAACGAAACGAGCTGGAACACTGGGAGGAGTTTACCTTCCTAAGGCAGCAGTAGTCGCACACCTTTGGCTTCCTCCTTCTCAAGGGGTGCTTGTTGTCGTGCAGGACTTGCGAAGGGTAAGGGCTCTTACTTCGTGGGGACATTTAGATGACTGGTCTATAAATCTGGATGGATGGCAGTAAAACAGTGCACCTGAAACCAGTGTTGGAAGAGATACTGGTGCTCCTAGCGACATTCGGAGGGTGGGGCATGGAGCCTTAAGTAACTGGGAGCCAACCTTGCGGCCACCCTTCGAGGAAGCCATCGAGTATTAAGCTCGGGATCCCTTAGACCTAACCACGGGCTGATATGCTTCTGAAACAAGGGCAGGGCAGCAATTATTGGAATTTGAACTAAATACCCGATAACTATGATAAATAACAATTTGAGTGCTCACTGTATTGTGTTGTGGGTATCAGGGAGCAAAAGCTTCTAACAGAGGCTCCAACAAATGATTATCGAGAACTTAGAGGGTTGCTTTTGGCGCATCTCCCTCTATTCAGCTAGATTTACAACTAACCATATGCTTTCTTTTCCTGCTTGATCCGAATTGACCCAATCCGACTGTATTAGTGTCCCTTAAAAGCTGCAGACCATACAGCCTGCTAATATCGTAGGCATGGTTTGGTCAGATCAATGGCCCCAGTAAACATATTGGTGATGCTCGCGGGTGTAAAGTGTCTCTATATTGCCCCCAGCGATTCCAGTATCAGCAAATATGCATTAACGGGAGGACAAAAACGTCTTGCACATAGCCACTATCTGCAATAGGTTCACCGAACAGTCATGAACATACCAGACTAAACAATTTTTCTTAGTCCATTGTATGCAATTCAACGTATATATGTTAAATGCAACCTGTAAACTTTCATACCCCATTGATATATTGATCCTACAACCCAATGGGGTGCACTACGGCAAGGAACATCCAATTAAATTGTATCATCGGAACTTGAACATCTGCCGCGATGCCAGGCAGGAAAGCAGCCGCCCGTTGCGGTGGAATTGCCAGTCTTGCCAACACAAACGATCAGGTTAGCGCTCACTAGCGTATGTCGAGAAACTCGTCGAGCGGAGAGAGGCAGTGTCGCGCTGGCGGGACCATTGAAACTCTATGTGCTCGGCGCGGATCCGCTCCGGATTTGTCCACCCGCTGGCAAATACTTGGCACTCGCCGCCTATCATTGACCTAGGTGATGCACGCGAGGTTGACGTCCTTCTCACATCGCTATGATTGGAGAAGCCACCCAGCGGACTTTCCCGTAGGAAGAGTTAGCAAGCAATTATCACCAATTATCACCTTCTGGGCACTGGTATGTAACCATCTTGGCCCTGCCCTGTTGGGAGAGGAATGGGACCGGACTCAAAAGCTGGTACCCTCCATGGCGGCCGAAACACCGAGACACAAAGGCACAATTAACGCATATACCATCCCGCGTCCGGGGGAGAGGGCAGCGGACGTACCAAAACCACCGAGCGAAGTTCTGTTTTCGTAAACTTACAGGTCAAGTAGTGCACTAATTATTGTGTGGAAAAATACAAATTGCGAATGCTATTTTCGGTTGCTTTAAACATAGAGCATTTCTAATATTCCGTACTGTGTACGGAAGTTGTGGTTCGCTCAGGTCAACTTTGGGGATAGTGAAATGTAGCACTGTATTATATTTAATTGGCGAGAGGAATATTGGAAGTTTATCACTGGCCATGCTTATCAATAATACATGGCGGAATGTGGGATGTGGTTGCGAAGTCACTGATGGGAGGCTACTTGTATTTCAATAGAATACAGTAATTTTCTAGGTTGACATAAAGTTATGTTGAGTACCGCTCGGCCACAAAAAAGATGCCATGACGAATAGTTCAGGTTACAGGTCACATAGGCGCGTTCGAATGCCAAGGTGGGCCGAAACTAGTCATGTGATAGGGCTCGTGAACCAACCGGCTCGTACCATACATGTTTTAATTACGAGCCTATCTGACCCTTTCACGTTTATAACCAGCATATCCACATTTACAATAAAGGAATATCTAAGTACTTTTAAAGTAGTTTACAAGTACTTTACAATTAGTTAACAAGCACTCAGAAACTGCTTATTTTTTTACCTCTGCCCCAACAGACTCCGTAGTATCTTCTCTCCAATATATTGAAATATCGTCACAGTCCGTTTTGTGAAAAAAAAATATATCCTTCAAGTAATTTCTAACTGATTTCCAACCAGTTAGAAACCAGTTAGAAACCAGTTAAATAATACAACTTGAAATTCGAAAATATTTGTGGATGGAAAAGCTGAAAATGAATTTCACCGTATGTGGTACAGTATTTAAAAGCTGAGGTGGACCGTTCGGAGCGCCAAGATATGTGGGGCGCCTAAGTCATCTTTTTTACGGTCCACCTGACCTGTGTACTCCGAATAGTTCAGTTTGTCGACAATTAGTTATGGTAATATTGATTATTCAGCACCTTTCTCGGTTGAATATTGTTGATGATAAACATCATCGGATCGCGTATATTTCCTATATTAGTTAGTTTGCATTCTTCATTTGTTTACCTCGCCTTTATAAATGCGAGATATTTTGGTAGTTTAGTTGAATCAGAGACCTAATTAAATGAAGGATCGATACTTGCAAATACGCGTAATTTTATGGTTGACATAGTTTCAATGCTAAATCGGGGTTTGACAAGTGCGCCCTGAAACAAACACAGTGAGAGGAAGGGAAAAACTTTAAACCCGCCTGTGCCTACGACCATACGGTCCGCTGCTGCAACGCGCTCTTCTCGTTTGGTTTTCTTTTTTTTGGTTTCTTCTGCCTTTCGTTTTCGCTCTAGTGTAGCTTGGCAACTCATTTTCTGTACCTCTACCTACGTACTACACTCGGGTGCATGTCTCTGTTTCCTCTTTGCTTTCCGTGCTGGGTATTCTCCACTCTCCTTATCGCGACGACTTTATGGATAATCACACCTTCTCCATACTTGCCTTCTCCATACATACAGGCCCGAAAGGCTTTTACAGACCACTTATAAAGGGGATATTGATATAATATACATGAAAAGATATTATTATATAATATTTAAGAATTATTTTCTAGTTATAGGTGGTTGTGAGACAGTTGTGATATGGTTGAGTCACGAGTGTTAGGGCCCTACTGTGAGGGTCTAAGTCCGAGTGCGCAAGTGGTGCTGAGCTTTACCACTACAAAAGGCGCAAATCGATGACCGTTCGGTCATCGAGCTCAGCGTATTAAGGCGGTGGGGCACTGGATGGCACGGATTGTGTGTTGTGGCTTGAGTTATTCGTAGTAGAGTAAAACCCGGTTAACCTGAGTCAATCCGGAACGCCATTTTGGATGCACTTACGGAGTAGAGGAATGCTCTAGCCAATCACAAGCACTACACGTGACCATAACTCGGTATGCACAAATTTATATGCGCTGAGAAAAGACAAAAAATTGCATTGATCGTGATAAATGCAACAAATCCTGCCTTACAGTTGGAAGTTAAGACCCACTTAGCGCTTTGCAGAAATTGGAGTTGCAATTAGACCGGTTTTACTGCATCTGGTAAGGAGGGCCAAATATAACGTTCCTAAAAGTGGGCGGAAGTCGGGCAGATTGGTATCATGATACACTCCGCCGAACTCATGAACATACCGCGGTCTACCATGATACACTTCGCCGATCTCTGGTGGAGTGAGCATACCATGGTCCAGGCCTGGGAAGTGTGTACACGGATCACCGCTCACCGCTTCGGCAGATCCCAGTGGGTCTGCTACAGCTCAATTATAAAGTTCCTAGCCAAAAGTTTGAATAACGAATTTTTTACCACCCTTGATTTCAAGATCTTATTGTCACGGACTAGTAGCCAACAGGGTGGTTTTCGATAAGCCGATAAGGCTCGATACGGCATGGATTGTTACCCGTGTTTGTTGATTGTCTGTCGATTGTTTTCAACAAACGACTAAAAGGCTTGGCAAAATATCATAATCAGATGCTGAGGTGCTGCGAGTTCGAACACTACTATATATTAAACCATTTTTAATTAATAAAATTGTTATAAATCTGATTGAAAATAAAAATTTAATATTTATCTTCTATATCAAGCCTTTCCATCTCCAGTTCATCAATTGTGATCCCACTATGATGCCAGTTTTTTACACATTCAACCTTTTCAATACTTTCTGGTCCAAAACGCATTCTTTCCCATGAAATTGTACGACTCGCTCCTGAAAATACTCTCTCTGGTTCATCACTCATTGCTGGGATTGATAGAATATCCATTGCCATTAGATAGAGTCTTGGCCAACGATTTTGTTGTTGATCCTGAGTGTGACGGCTTGGCACCCTTCGGGGGTTTGCTATATAAGGCGATGGGCATATCAAGTACGCTGTACTTGATATTCTGGTCTTTTTGTGGCTCAGTGGTTAAGCGCAAGCGGTTGAGATCCTAGAAGCCCACCTAGGATAAGGCCGTGACACTGAGACCACCACAGAAGAGAAGATCCGGAAATTGCATATGGCTGCTCAGAGATATAGTCCTGATAGGCCGCACCCCAACGCAACTTCGCAGCCCAACGCAACTTTTGAAGTTATTCAGCTGTCCTATGGCTTTTCTCCTGTACTATCTACAAAAAAAATAGCATTGTTGATAAGCTGTGGATCTGTAGGATCCCACTGACCCGGTATAAGATTCGCGAAGGGATCTTGTTGTGCGTGAGCTGGCTGCAAAGCTGCAGCCTTCCCCTTTCGTTTGGTGCCCCTCCGGGATTCTTTTTCGTCTCGCTGCCCAATTTTATGTGTAGCGTCGGATTTATTAATAGGACCTGATGCCTGGACATGACGCTTTGATTTAGGCATTTTTTGAGCCTCAGGAAGAGTAAGAAGCTGCTTTACATCAGCTTGATTTTGAGCGATAAGCTCGGCTGCGATTTGGTCACGTCGAAAGTGCTGCTCGAGTCGGCGCCTAAGCCGAGGATTAATCTCGTTTTGAAGAAGTTTCCTGGTTTTCTCAACCCTTTTTTGAGCGCTTCGAGGAGTAAGAACTGGAGATACTGTGAGACTAGAGCTTAGTAGAGGTGTATTACGCTCGCTATCAGGCCACTTAAGGTCTTGAGTTAGACCTTCTGCGTTAAGAAGTGGCTGGATGACTTTTGATGAGTCCCACGGATAAATGCCTCGATCTGCAAAAGAATGTCTGATTGTACGAGATTTAAATGTTTTATCTCGGACCTCTGCAATATCGCGAAAAAAATCACGTTTATCGTTAACTGATCCCCCCCACCGAACCACCTGGTTATTTTTATTTCGGAAATGTGTTTTAAATGCGAGAAATGGCTTGCCGTCAAGTGGCTGAGTAATGTGAGTAGTATGTGGGACAAAGGCGAAGGGTATAATATTTTTTTGCTCGCAAAATTGTAGAAATTCATATGTAAGATGTGATCCATGGCCATCAAAAAGAAGTCGCTCCTCATTTTTAATAACATTTTTCTTCGTGTGAAGATCAAAAAACTGAAGCCAATCAAGGGCAATCTCGTCATAGGTATAGCCCTTTGGCGAGAGCGCAAATCGATAATTATCAGGAATAGTTGGCTGGTCACGATACCACCTCTCTAAGTGGTGCTCCCCTTTAATAATAATAAAATATGCGGGAAGTACTTCGCCGGCCGCTGAGATACACTTAATAGCTGTAATTGTTTGCCCGGCATCACCTGTAGCTATCTTTGATGCTTTTTTACAAGATGCCGAGCTAGTAACGACCTTTTAAGCCTTCCCTTGACCAATTTGAAGGCCAGTTTCATCAAAATTATAGATATTTTTTGGTGGTATTCTCTCAACAAATGGCTGAAGTTTATCAAACCAAATAGAGAGAATTCCAATATCCTCGGCCTCCACTCGCTTACGCTCGATTAGCTTTTGCTTAACAAGCGTTAAATCAGGAGGGAGGCGTTGTATAAAGCGATAGCCCATGTTTTATCAACTGGTGGTGGCGGGAGTTGATTTGGCTTCGTGTTTCGGGCGATTATCGCATTCGCACATTGAGTAATTGTGCTTGCAGTGGGAGAAAGATTAACTGAATCAATCTGCCGAATCCACTGAACTAAGGCATCCTCTTGTGATTGATTTAATCGCTTAGTAGTGATCGTACGAGCTGATCGAGAGTCACGGCTGTTAAAACGTGCCCGAAGCCGCGTGACTGGCACTTGAAACTCACGCGCAGTAGCTGCGATGTTGGGCTTTTTTGAGCGCCTGAGTGTTTCGCAGGCCTTAGTAATACGCTTTTCCACTTCGATATATTGCTCAGGCATGTTGGTAGTGATGAAAATAGCTGAATAACTTCAAAAGTTGCCTTGGGCTGCGAAGTTGCGTTGGGGTGCGGCCTACCCACAACGCTGAAAAGCGGTGTGGGTAGGTGTGCTACGGCTATAGGGAACGATATATCATTGATATCCTAGACCACGATAACTACCATACTTCCTTGGATGGTTGACTCTCGCACCTAGAATACATGAAGAGGGTTTAAGTATTCGGGGGTGTGATCCCCGCACGTTAGGATAAGATGCAGATCACTACTTTATCAGTTCAAGAGGAAATACGAAAGCGTGCCCAAGTCCAGAATTCTCGAGCTACGCCGATAAAGATACTCTTCTTTGAACACTCTTCAACTCAATTGTTATTGTCAATTCTCGTCGGTGCCATGGGCCATGGCAATCTGTGAAGACAAAGCCGCCTCCTTATCAAGGCATCTTGAAAATGCATCCGGATCTGAAACTTTGGTTTTGACCCCCTAGTGACTCACAGCACCATCAGCTCTGGTTCAAATCATATAACGCTTGATAACTCCGCTGGCATGTTGGCCGCAGGCTACTATGGAATGACATCGCTATTCGGTTCTCTCGGTGACGCCCTATTTGGATTGACTGTGTAAGGAAGGCTTTTGGGGGGTGGAAGCTAAGAGACTTGAAAAGTTTATACACGGTTAAATTCCTTTTCTCAAAAAGGCGCCAGTGTCAGAAAAATCACAGAAAAAATGATTAAATAAAATATTTGATGTATGAGACTACCAACCATGTTCCCTCACCTAACCCCATACATCCAACTGCCACTTCTTCATTCTGAGTTGTGTTGCCTCAAACTGCTGGGCCTGTTGTTCTGTTAATCCTTCATGGCTTCGAATCATTGCCAGAAGCTCCTCCCGGACTTTTCGAGCCATCGCAGTGGATCCGCAAATGTACACATTCGCCTTGGCGTTGTAAAGCAACTCTGTGGTTGGCGCATTCAGAGCCCTAATCTGATTTTGTACGTACCCGCCTCCAGTCCTGGAGTAAGCCACGATGACTTGCAGTTGGCCACCAAAGACTGCCTGGATATCTTCAATATCGCTCTTGTACAAGTGCATGTCCTCATTCTGGCACCCGTAAAAGAGCATCATTCTTCCCACTTCCCCCCTAAGCTGAAAACTTCGCAGGCGATGGCGGAGAAAACCTAGGAAGGGTGCAATGCCTGAACCATTGGCAACCATGATCATTGGTTGCAAAGGTGACACTGGTGGCTTGAACTTGGACTTTTGCACGCTGCACCATAGACCGACTTGCGCGGTGGCAATTGCTTCGCTCGGCTGCTGCATCCCCAGGAAGTAGTTGGATGCTAATCCTCGCAGTATCTCACCACTGCTCAAGTCGATGTGCTTCACCGCGACTGTGAAAGAAATCTTCCGTGGGTTGACAGCTGGCGTAGACGCAATTGAATAGTATCGCGGCTTGAGAGGTCGGAGATTCTCCAGCACGAACGAAAGCGGAACATTCCATGGTACATCGGAGCTTGTAGACTGTAGTACAGAAGCCAAAGTCATTCGGCGCGTTGTACACATACGCCTGTAATCACGCGCCATCTCATCCAAGGCATGTTTGGCAGCCGTGTTATCTGAAAATTGCTTCAAGCCCATAATGAGATCTCGTGACACGAGGCCAACAATATCCAGGTGATGTTTAAAAAGCGCGTGTAAGGTCACTGGCTGTGGCCATAGTATTTGAGTATCGGTATCTTCACTGCGAATTGTGACCGGCCGATGTATCTCAGCTTCGCTAAGTCCCAGTATTTCGCTAAGATGGCGGATTTCGGGAGCAGGATTCTCTGGCCAGACTGCAAGATGATCTCCCACGCTGTACTTGAGCTTCGGTTCATTGGTGATATCAACATCAACATGAAGGGTGGTGCGTGCTGCTTTTGGTGTAATGTTGTAGAGAGATGCAACCGCAGCGGAATAGATCATAGAGCTGCCTGACTTGGACTGGATCTGTACATCGATTGGCCGGTACATGACTACCTTTTCACCCTGAACATCACTACTAGACTCGATCTTGAAGACAGGTTCATATGCCTTTGGACGCTCAACGATCCCAAGCTCCTGAACAAACTTCCCGAAAAGGTTTATTTTCCAAGATATAAACCCTTCTTGAGTCAATCCTTGTGCATCGTCCGCTAGAAACAAGTCAAGCACCGGCACAGCTCCGGCGTTCTGAAGTGCATTATGTGCTTTGATGGCAAATCGATTGTAATGTTTGTAATTGCTGTTCCCCAGGCCCAGTATAGCAAAACGCAAATTCACCAGGCAGCTCTTTCCGGCAAGACCTTGCAGCCACTCGTCATATTTGATCGCATTGTCTGGAGGGTCGCCTTCGCCGTAGGTCGACAAAATAAACAGAGCAGCCTTTGTTGCAGGAATCTCAGCTAAAGAGTTGCAGTCGTAATCAGAAAGGTCTGCGACCAGGACAGGCTTGGAGAATCGCTGAGATATGTTCCGGCCCAGAAGCTTTGCAAGTTCGTACGATGTTCCCGATTGTGTGCCATAGAAGATAACTATATCCTTCCCCTACCGGAGAATAAAATTAGCTTTGCCAACCATGGGAAGAAAAATACTGGTATTACAAACCTGAACATTCAAGGCCGTTGCAATATTAGTCTCTGCTTCGTTTTGCGCTTGCTTTTCGCCTTGAGGATATTCATACCAAATGTGCGCAAAAGGGTCTTTGTTGAAAAGGGATGAATCGTGCAGGACAATCACTAACACAAGAGTGAACAGCCCAACGGCCAAAACCAAATCCCATTCGGCCCAATCCCAAGTTTGAGGGCCATCGAGATGTGTCAGCATGGATACGTGCTTCATGATTGAATCTTGACTAAACGGCGATTAGATTGTAGATGTTGGAAAAAACGACATACCCCACTGGGGTATTAAGTACAAGCACACACTTGGATCACCATCAAATGTTGTAATGCTTCCCATCCCTTCACAGTGTTGAGGATAATGTACGGGCCAACCTTTAGCCTGGGGTAAGGAGATACTTCCTGATCTCGGCAAGATCTCCGTGAGACGGGGACTTTTACTCGATTCGGAGAAAGTTCCGTTGTGCCCACCTCCATTGCCCCATTTGGATCGACTATGTGATGTATTTGTCCTGCGCCGGGATTTTTCACTTTATTTAGGGCAACAATCCCGCCATGAGTGAGATTTTACTGTCAGCCCCTGTCAACCTGACCTCATTTCCCCGCACCGCATGGTTGATTCAGAAGAATGTTTAATATAAATGGAATTATCTCGTGTTCAAGGTTCAATACGATTCAGGTTAAGAGATATTTGAACATATGAACTTACGAACCATCAGTATGTACGGATTCCTCATGCTTGGTGTGGCGGCGCTGCTGCTGTTTGCCCGACTGGTTCTCTATCCTGTGGCTCTCTACTTCATGGACCCCAAAGGCTTCCGGAGGTATCCCAATATGAGTTTCCTCTCTGGAGTAAGCGACATTCCCTTCATGATCGAAGCTGCACGGGGTTTCCGGTCCAAGCATTTAGCGGAGCTCCATAAGAAGTACCCAGTAATTCGAATTGGCCCTAACTCTTTATCCTATGGAGATGTCCGTGCAATTAAGGTATGTAGACAAATGGAAAGGAATTTCCCCTCCCCCACAAGATCTCCATAGCTTCCATGGAACCCTGACAATGAGACTGATACTTGTGTAGGATATCTATGGTCACACTACCAAGTGCATCAAAGACGATTTTTACTCACTGCTTGCGGGGAGTCACTTTCATCTTGCGGATGTCGTTGACAAAGGCGAACACCAACGGAAGCGGAAGGTTCTTTCAAGTGCTTATGCCATCAAAAACCTGGAGGGATGGGAGTACAAAGTTGCAGACAAAATCTTCAGGCTCGTTAAGCAGTTTGATCAGCGATGCCCAGCAGCAGGTCAAACTCCGGGAGAAGCGAACACGGTCGACTGGCGGGCTTGGACTAATTTTTTCACAATGGATGCTATTGTTGACATTGGATTAAGCGCTGCTTTAGGATTCCTTGATCAAGGAAATGATATTACGATTGCCGAGTCGCTTGACGGCACTACGCGGGATGTGAGCTACCGCGACTGTCTGCACAGTCAAATGACGGCTCATTCTCAACTTGTTTGGTCCTATAAATGGTACAAATTGTTTTGCAAGTGGAGTCGGCGTATTCGGACACGCCATGGCAGGCTTTTGTGCAAGGGTGACGGGTTTAACGGCATTGTTGTCCACCAAACCCGCCAGCGACTCAAGAGGTATCAAAGTGGGGAGAAATTGGAAGACTTTTTCCAGGCCCTGATGGAATCGAAAGACGGAATAGCCAATCACCTTCCATTTGGAGAAATTGTGGCTGAGATCTCTATTATGTGTGAGTACATCTCTTTTTCAGACTGAAAAGGCACAAAGCTTATAAAATATTGACAGTGAACGCTGGGTCCGTCTCCACTGCGATCGCAATCAACAACGCTATGTACATGTTGATCAGGAACCCTGATAAGCTCAGCAAACTCCGAGACGAGATTGACGTAGTAGCAGATGAGAGTGAGATCGCTATTTCTTATGACAAAATCAAGGATCTCCCTTACCTCCGTGCTTGCTTGGATGAAAGCATGCGGATTCTTCCCCCGACCACTTTTGGACTTCCTCGCAAGACCCCCCCGGAAGGCTGCGAGGTTTTTGGCCAGTGGATTCCAGGAAATACGACCGTTTCTATGTCATCCTATGTCGCTCACCGAGACAAATCCGTTTTCCCCGACCCGGAAGTTTTCCGGCCCGAACGGTGGCTGGGAGATGAAGGCAAGAAGCTTCAGCCATACTTCATAACCTTTAGTGCTGGCGCTCGCGGTTGCATTGGTCGCAACATTAGCTACCTGGAACAAACCATCATTATCGCTTCCGTTATTTATCGGTACGAGCTGGAGTTAGAGTCTCCGGCATTTGACCAGCATCGCTATGAGCATTTCAACTTGGTTCCCGGACCGCTACCCCTGAGAATTCGGCGACGTCAACTATAGTGTTATTAGATTTGGTGAAGGTTTTAACGGGTATTTTAACTTGATGGCTTCATCTTCTTAAGGAGATCACAGCAATATCTAGGGCTGGACACGAATAAGGTCAATACGAATAAATTGAACATTTCTGCTTAATAATATTCGTACGAACAAAATTTCTCATTATTCGTAAATTATTCGTATTATTCATGTTCGCGAGGCCCGATTCTCTTCAAGTCAAGGGTGGAATGTTGTGAACGAATCGTCCCGGATCAAGTGCTTCCTCGGATCTCGTTAACCCCAGACTTGACCTTTCGGCCATTATTGGCGAACGCAGTCCCGGGACTCCTGGACGCAAGATCAGTTGAAAGCGCAATCTCTTGACATTTCCGGATTGTCGATTCTTGTATCGAGCCATGGATCAATGCTTGGCGGCGAACGAGGTTGCCTAGTAACAATGGAGACCGGGGAAGGAAGAAAGGAGCCACAGAAACAATTTCGCTCGTCCATTTCTGTGCGACTAAAAAGATGTATCTCCAACTGGGTCACGAGCTCAGTGGATAGAATAGCTGCCAGGTGGCCAAAGACGTCGCTGGCAGAGGTCAGCGGTGACAGGATGTCCGGGCCGGTCTAGTAAAAGAGGCTTGGGTCAACCCAGTGAAGTGCAAAGAGGCAGGTGATGGCGGGGTAGTCGCCGGTAACCTTTAGAAATCGGAAGGGCCGGTATCCGTTCTGATGGCGCTGTCTCCTGGCTGTGCACATTGCTCCCATAAACAGGGACGTTCGACCGACCAGATATTCGGATCTAGACGGAGATTAAAGTTGTATATAACTAAGGGTTGGGAGAGGGGGCGCGGGAATAGCAGCCTTTTGTTCCTCAAGGCAATGACAAGGCACAAATTGATAACGGCAACCGTTGAGCCTTCGAGAGCAAGTGGCCCGCAAAGCCGGTTATGGAAGCTACGGGATTGTGAAGGCGAATGGCTTTTTCAGAGCTACGGATAGACATAGGATTTCGTAATTGTATTGCTAATGACACAATTTTCATCCATGGGCTAGCATCGGTTGCATCTCCTCAACGAAGTTTCACCACACGGATATGGATATGATGCTGTGAAAGATCTCCCATCTCGTACCTTCATTGTCACCCACTCTTCTCCTATGCCCACCCTACTACTGTGTACCATTTTCCGCTTCCCGCGGTTTCTTCTCCGTGAAGCCTTTCGCTAGGAACTCGATTGCTGCGGAATATCCAAAAACCCCCATGCCAATGATCACAGCGACAGCCTTTTCGCTTAGATAGCTATGATGTCGCCATGCCTCTCTTGCATGAGTGTTTGTAACGTGTATCTCCACGAATGGGATACTCACACCAGACAATGCGTCGCGTAGGGATATACTCGTGTGCGTCAGCCCCCCGGGATTGATTATAATCGCCTCGACACCGTCTTCTCGGGCATTATGAATTCGATCAATTATTTCTCCTTCATGGTTTGATTGATAAGTCGAAAGTTGGATGCTGAGGGTGCGACATTGCGTTTGTGCACGGGTTTCGATGTCGGCAAGTGAGGTGCACCCGTAGATGTGCGGTTCCCGGATCCCGAGGAGATTCAAATTTGGGCCGTTGATAAGGAGTATGTTTCTCGCCATATTGTCAATTCCACTTCTTCCTGGTTGACGCTGGAGAAAAACGCTTAGGGGAAGCGGATGGGGAGTGTCAAGCTCTATCGGCGGTCTACTAAAAAGAAATAGTAATGTTGTGTATGGCTGTGCAATCCTACTTCTGAATTTTCTACCGTTTATGGCTCCAAACTATATTACATGGTTGGCGAGGTTAAAGGAAGAAGACATATCCGCTTGCTTTGTGTAAGAGTGTTTACCATCAGATCTCCCAGCCTATTAGAAGCGCAGCCGATGACTACTTGGTGTACATATCGGAAATATAATTTTGCTTAATTATCGGAAAAATTATTTCTCGGTCATTACTTACCCGATGAATGGTCCATCACTGCATGGCGAGTGATGTGGATCAAATTCCAGATCAGCTTCACATTTAACAAACTAGGGCAGCTGTTGCTTCCGCTACAATCCGCTGTTGATTGTTATGTCGGACGGCAACGAAGTAGAATGTCTCCTAAACCTCAAGCCCATTACAGACTTTCTTGATTGAATTCTATCTGCAGTGCATCAAGGTTGAAAGTCTCTTGAAGGCAGTCCACATTTACACTGGAGCGAAAGGGATAAGAACCACTGTCCCGTGGGTCTATCAAAACTGTGCTTCCTCTCTCTGGGTCAGCTTACAAGACTTACTAGCTTACACCTTCCGGCGGATCACTTGATGGAATGTTTTGTGGACTTGTATCAGTTAACGGTATCTTTACTTCCTTCGCAGCTGAACCCCTCGATCAAGTCTAGTAACAAAATGGAATGAGTCGTGCGCTGTTTTACCTGTTGGATAAAGCTGTCTCTGTTGATTGAACAAGCAGACTTGACGTAATTGATAGATATCATAAAATCATAGATATCAAAAGTTTGAAAGGCTGGGACACCTTCGCCAACTAAGATAAACAACACGAGCCCGTTTGGAAGGTTAGAAGAAGAACAATGAATTGATCGCGAACCACTACCTGTGTGCTGCATTATAAAATACAGCTAACTATGACTCTCATAACGTGACATTACCCCGTCCGTATATCCGACTTCGCGATTTGAGCTTAGCAAAGTCCAAGATCTTGGTAAATCTGCATTGTTTGGCATTCTGTTCGACGCATGCTTCCAATGCTGATCTCTATAGTACTAGCTAGATCATAAAACGAGTCTGTGCCTTTCAGCCTTATCCAGCATGGCCTCCAATCCCTTCTTGCACACTCAAATCAAAGGTCATCTTCATGTAGAAGACTGCAAAGCAGAGGTAGTAAGTAAATACGACTGAGATGGCTGCCCTAAGGGGCAGGACTATCGGCACGCAGATTATGTTTCGAATAAAGTGATGGATGATCATTGAGAAAATAGGAAACCGGTTGGCAACATCTACAAGACTGCACAGAAAATATTGGCGGTCTATATAACTGCGGACTCTTTTCTAATAGGAGGGTTAAAATTGTGTTCGAACGAAGGCAAGTAGAGACATATTCCAGTTTATATGTTGGGAATCCTAGCCCGAGCCGGGGTTCAAAATTAAGTCCGGCAGATTAAAAAGGCGTCTCACTTCGGCAGGTGTAGCGCTGGGAGCAAACCCCAGGTTACGTGAGAATTGTGGCTGTTTGTCAATCCTAAGTGAATCGTCAAGCGACATTTTGTCAGCCCTGGTGGCGAAGCCAATGCACTATAGGGAGTGGCCTTACAATTCAGACCCGCCCAGCCCATCTATCTCACTGAAAAACCAATCCATGTCTCCCATGAGCTCTTCGTCGAGCTCTTCTGGCCCAGTTGAGTTGGCCGGCGACCTGAGAAGCCCTGTCGATGTGTCTATGCCCGGGATGAAGGAGGACATGCCGCTACGAGCTGGTTTGGGTGGCATTGCGTTGGCCAGCGATGGGTGTACAAAAGACTCGTGCCCTACTAAACCGGTCTGGCTAGACTCTGATGCCATGTTTCCACTACAATGCACCGCAGGAGGCTGAGTCGTCCCCACAGTCGGAAATGCCTCATGGGAGAGCAGGAAAGGGGAGCCTTGGTGATTCAGGGCATTGGTGGTTCCCGGCATCCGGTCTCTCAAAGCTTCTTCGGAGTAGGGCGCTACAGCAGGAGCTTTTGTCATCGACCTCCTATTGTCAGTAAAAACACTCTGAAGTTGAGACACCATTGTTTTCAGGCCCTCGAGAACTGTGGAATCTGCCTCGTAGTTCTTGTTTCGTGAGGTTCCAAGTAGTGCACAATGGCGAGCAGCAGACGTGGCTGAAATCTCTAGCACAGGGGCGATGGTGGCCACACTGTAGGCTTTTGAATAGCATTGAAGCAGGCGTAGAATGTGAGTTGGCAATGTGCCATGTGTTTCAGCAGAATTTGTCTGAGACAGCAACATCGTACAAGACCCTCCAATATTGGCTCGTAACTGGAGTATGGCAAGGGCGGTGGCGAACAAAGTGTGCAAGATCAAAACTTGCGGTACTGGGCAAATGCCCCCCTGGAAGAGTATGTTACCAAATTTTGGAATTTGGCACTGGGGCGGCAGGCTTTCTCTCCAATTTTGTAAGTCTCTAAGCATTCTGCAATACTGAGCCGAGGGCATGGGTCTACTTGAAACATTACCCGTATACTCATTGAGTATAGAGGCCAATTCGAGGAGCTGATTGAATGTGCTCTCAGTATGCGCCGGCTGATTTTGCCACCCTTCTCGATGATGCAGGCTTGGAAAGCCAGGACCAGTGGACCATGGACCCCATTCTTCTATGCCGTCCTCCATTAACCTGCCAAGCTCTCTAATGGCATCAGTCTTCAGATGGGATGGCTTTCCAAGTCTGGCCGAAATAAATGTGTCGAGAATAAAGCAACTAAGAAATACATGAGTCTGCCGTGGGTGTGGATGATGAGCCGTGCCTTGTTCTTCCGATGTCTCCAGTGAATCTTTCATTCCAATAACTAAAACAATGCGCACTGCTTGACCAATCAGAAACCAAGCAGCAGACCACGAACCAGCTCCACATTTAATAAGACTAAGTAGCAGCAATGCTTGTACATGACCGAGCTCATACTTTTGTCCTTCTTTCGGGACCAGATTTCTGGCAGCATTGTAGAGCCTTGTACAAGACCATTCAACTTCGTCCGAAGACTTGTTCCGTGTGCTTTCTTTGTCTTGCGCAGAGGCTTGATGGGACGCAAGGGCCAGAATTGCCCACAAAGCAGAATGTGTTCCCGAGCCTGCCGAATCTCCAGTTACATACAGAGATCGACGCGAATAAGAATGGGCAAGCTTATATATGTCACCCTTGTCGATAATGGGCAGCCAACAATGAGTGTAGGCAAAGTAGACGTCGAAAAGTCGCCATGCGTTTGGCGGAAGTGACAGAAAGCTTGCTTTTGATATGATGTCTGTTCCTGACTGACATCTAGGAAAGTTTGCTCTGCCCCCGACAACATTCGCAGTTCCCAACTTGGCTCGTGATTCACTGCAGGGTGTGTTGGGTATCGGACTTTGTGACGGCTCGTCCACCAACGAGCCACCCTCTGTGCTGATATTCTGCTCAACGCTATTACTAGGAAAATGGCTTGGCAGCAGCTCTTCGTCATCGAGTCCGTGCTCTTGTATTCGCCAAGGAGCAGCAACATTCGAATAGCCCTCTGGTGCTTGGTCGCTGGGAGTACTTTCGTCCTGCTGCAGTACAGTTCGCCTATCACTCGAGTCTCGTTCGTTCAGGAGCTCCACGATCGGCAAAAGACGCTCCACCTCTTTGAAGAGCGTGCTAGACTTCCACCGCTCTAACATGGATGACCGCCAGCTCCCGCTTCGTTTTGCGATTCTCTCTGTCAATAAAGCAGTCGCTGCTTCTTCGCTCCCTTCGACTGTGCTCAGAACACAACCCCACAACATTTCCAGCAAGCGCACGTAGCCAGGAGGCAATCCACGTCTTCGTATACTGTTCTGGTAGGAGCACACCTCATTGGCCAAGTCGCAATTCGAGCAGGTAGGAAGGTGGCCATCACATTTCTCTTTCCTGCTGCGACATCGGAAGCATGCTCTAGTTACCCGTGAAAACCTCTTTTGTCGAATGTTCTTTACTCTGCTATGGTGGCTGTCATTCTTCTTGCTGTTTCCGCCGGTGATGCTGGTGGTATCTTCGCTCCTTTGACGTGGCATTGCACGGTATGATGGTACAGTCTTGTATTAGGAGAGCGATTCTGCCTGATGAGATGTGCTAGTCCGCCTTATAGCTGTGCGCCTCCTTTGAAGCTGTGAATATCCGACAGGTGATCAAACAGCCGTTGTTCCAGATCGAGGGGTATGTTGCAAGTGCGGGGATATTCCACCCTAGCGCCGATAGTTGAATCAGCTGGATAGCCCTGGACAGATCAAGGGGCAGCCCCACATCCTCCATCCATGGCTAAGAGTATCACGGCAAAGACTATATGCGTGGTACATCCGCATGAAAGGCTGGCCAATCCGACCGACCTGTGGAGCAGGGAGTGAGGTAAGAGGAGATTTAACCACCGTATCGCGGCTGAACACCAAATTTATGTGCCCAGACCGGAGGTACTCAACACCGTTCCACAGACGACAATCAGCACTTCGACCACACCAGGTCTCCTTTACAACTCCCTAACGTCCACTCTCTAGCGAATCAGGTCTGAACGATTGTGAGGATGAAACGGACCTTTGGTCAGGTTGAGCCGACTCTCAAACTCCCAAGAATTGATCTGACTGCTGTCTCAGGCCCATATTTGAACCCAGCCGGTGTGCGGACACAGCCGTGCATGCCAGCTAAGAGGACATCTGGAACGACCACGGCGGAGTGTGGGAAACGTCAGAATACATCCCAGACTCAAATACTATTGAGCTCGGAACCTACCTCGAGGCATTCAGTATACTCGCCAATATCACCCTCGATACTTTTGGCAGAACGACCAAGTCGGCAATTTGCCGTCGATGCCTCCATCGTCTTGATTGGTTTCCGAGGATCTGGAAAGTCTACATTGGCTTTGATGGCTGCTAGTAACCTCGGGCTACGTCTCCTAGATACGGATGAATATTGGGAATCTGTGGTCGGGAAATCAAGGTCTGACTACGGAAAGATTCATACTAAGACGGAATGTCGACTCCGCGAGGTTCAAGTGCTAGAGAAAATGCTGAAAGAGAACGCGACTGGGTATGTGATTGCATGCGATTCGAGCTGTGCCGAACGATCAGTGCAGTTACTGTTCAAAGAGTATGCCAAAACCCACCCAATAATATACGTACACAGAGAACCGGAAGCCATCCAAGAATATCTGCAAAGCAAGGATAGAGAACAGATCGGGCGGTTGTTGAGTATCAGCAAACCTTGGTATCTCGCCTGCTCAAATTTTGAGTTCTTTAATGTCACAGAACCTATTATGTCAGAGGATGCCAACTTTGGTGTAACGTCGAAGGCATATGTGCCATACAGAGGAACTTCGTCTTTTTCATTCTTGGCACTTAAGAGTACGGAACAGAACTTCCTGCGTTTTATACGTGGCATACACGACACCAACGAGAACATAATTTGCAGAGCCGGAATCCACACGCTGGCAGCCACTCCTCTAGAGTCTCGACCATACACGTATGTCCTTACGATTCCGAATACAGTCAACCCAGACGCATTCATCAGTGATCATCTCTTAAGGACCAGTCTAGACGCATACGAATTGAAATTTGTCCTCAAAGATCCCTGTCCGAGCGAGGAATCAGGCATACTTAGCAATTCGATAAGAGACTCTATCAGCAAGACGTTTGCATCTATGAGACGACAAAGTTGTGTGCCCCTTATTTTCCATGCAGAGCTCGACCCCGAGTGCGCACCAAACCCACTGTACCTCGAATTGCTTCATTACGGGCTTAGGTTCTGCCCCGACTATCTGAGTGTGGATTTGCGCTGCAACAAAGAAGTATTTCAATCCATTCGGAATGCTTGCGGCTCGACAAAGATACTAGGACACTATATGGATCCTGAACCGTTTCAGGACAGTTGGAATAGCAAGAGTCGCTTTGCCAAATATCTTGCGGCTTGGGATATGGGTTGCCACATGGTACGACTTGTTCAACATGCAATCTCCATCGATGATAACCTCGGGGTACAACAGTTCCATAGGAAAATTAACGCATTATCTGGGCCTCATCCTCCATTGATTGCGTACAATACCGGTCTCCTCGGACGAACGTCCACTATATTGAATTCCCTTCTTACACCTGTCGTCCAACCGGCATCTTATGACAAGGGCATTGCCGCTTCGACGATGATAACAGCAACAGAGGCGCAGAGAGCGCTCTATGCAATGTTTATCCTCCATCCGATGCTCTTTTGTGTCATTGGTGCAAAAGTGTCGCATAGTCTAGCGCCAGCAATGCATAGCGCGGCATGCCGGGCGTGGGGAATTCCCCACGAATGGACGCCGAAGGAAGGGTCATCACTAGACGCGCTGGATGAACTTGTCAATAGTCCAGTATTTGGCGGGGCTATGATCTCCCTTCCCTACAAGTCAGAGGTTCTATCTTATCTTCATTCCATTAGTCCGGCCGCTGCAGCTATAGGAGCAGTCAATACGATTGTGCCGCTACGATTCGAGTTGGACCCGAATATCCCCTGTCACCTCGATCCAAGATTTCGGAAGCATCAGTCCGGTCATATCAAAGCTCTTTATGGGGATAACACCGACTGGATAGGCTTTCGCAATTGCATCTGTCACAGCCTTTCACCGGCTAACGCAATAAGGCATGGGACAACCGGCCTTGTCATAGGTGCCGGTGGTATGGCACGCGCGGCGGTATATGCAATGTTGCAAGTGGGAATCAAGAACATCGCCATTTATAATCGGACTTTGGAGAAAGCAGAACAAGTTGCTGAACACTTCAATAACGCCGACTTCTGTCGGCCAGATTCAGCCGTCGAGCATACCATGGCTTCGGTTCTGGGGGGGGTACGCGAGGCGGCTATGGGCGTTGTGGTGCTAAAATCGAGGAGTGACCCTTGGCCAGACGTTATGCGCCTTCCCACTGTCATTGTTTCCACACTTCCTGGATATGGGGCAGGAAGGGATGCAGCACCTGATTTTCTTTTGCCCGACCAGTGGCTCAAGAGTTCAACGGGAGGAGCTTTCATTGAGGTATATACAGGTCTTGCCTTTACTGACGGAGAGGTTCCGGATGCTGCAACGTTTAAGGAACTGCATGCTAACGAACTATAGTTTGCATATGAACCTGTCAAGTCGCCGCTTTTCCGCCAAATGCAGGCGAAATCCGAGGCAGGTTGGGTTATCGTTGATGGCCTCGACGTGTTGCCTGAACAAGGCTTTGCTCAGTTCGAGCTCTTCACTGGACGAATAGCACCTAAGCGGCTGATGAGGATGGAGGTACTACGATCTTACAAGCAAGGAGCAACGGACGATGAGCAAGCATATATTGAAGCGCGCTTGCGACATCTCCAGCATGTCGCTGATTGGGACGCTTAATATCCTATAAGTTCCAGACCCTTGGGTTGGTAGTGTTAACGGTCCGAGCTGAGTATATTAACAGTTAGCTAGGTGACTACTGTGAGTATCTAAAAATTAAAGCAGATAAGAGTAACGCAGAGTGTGGAGCACATCAAGGTAGCGGTTCGGGACCCGGGTTGAGCCTGTGCTTTACTCTCGCAAACCATCAACGTGGTGCTGCACAGGGTGAGACGTATATAAAACGGTAGGGAAAAGTTTGTATCATACAGCAAATTTCTTTTTAGGTTCATACAATCTTGGGAAAGGCATTTGAGGACAGATTAAATTTGGACTTCCGGTTTACCTGTCACGGTCGGATTCATGGTGAAGCTTCACATCGACTGCTGCCTGGACTACTGCCACGTCACTCAAAGGCTGGGTTTTGTTCGATCTAGTGGGGGGTCTGAATTGAATGTATTCAGAAAGATGTTCTGTCCAACCCCTCTTGAGAGATATTGGGTATTGTCAGAATAAAGCTAGTCCATACTGGGACATCATGTGAAATAATATAGTGACGTGGCTATATAAGCCGTGCCTCCAGAAGAGTAAGGGGAACAGACGACAACCAATATAGAGAATATTCAAGCTCTTATAGAATTACACCAAAATACTCGAACAGGTATTATATGTTGGAAGCATGGAGTCTGGGATTCAGGGGTACGGAGGCACCCGCGAACTAGTCTAAATAGAACTAGTTAACTAACTTAGTTAACTTACTTATAGTTCTTGGCCAAAAGTCCTCATAATCGCGCTAAGCACCCGGTCGCGTCAACCAACGCGTCAAAAAACCTCATTCTTTTAAACACCAACCATGACCCCAAAAAGGACTCCTTTGAGTCCTTTTAGCAATAATATTAAGCGCAATCGGGAGCTAGATCAAACTGAGAGAGCTTATATACAGGGCCTTTATGAAGGTGGAGTAAAACCTCTTGAAATCTCAAAGCGCTTGAATCGACCCCTCCCAACCATTTATGCCACGCTGAACCGAATATCTTCAAGGCAGGATTTTAACTCCCACCCACGATCTGGTCGGCCGAAAATCTATACAGATAGAGACAAACGCTTGGTGATCCGGTTAATTAAAGAAAATCCTTTTATTACCTATAAGGAGGTACAAGAAAAGCTTGGGTTGTGATTCCGCACCGATCGCTATACCGGATTGTTAAAGAGTCAGGATATAGTAAATGGAGAGCTCAAAAACGCCCCAAATTAGCACCGGAAGTAGCGAGACTACGGTATAATTGGGCTTTAAAATATAAAGATTATACCGACAGCGACTGGGACAAGATTGTATGGTCATATGAGTGCTCGGTTGAGCTTGGATCCGGCCAGCGCCACCAATATGTGTTTCGCCTTAAATTACATGGTGAAAAGTGGAAAAGGAATACATTCAGCCATACAAGAAGGGCAAGGCTATCCGGGTAATGGTCTGGACAGCTATTTGGGGCAAAAATCGCAGTGATCTTGTACGTTTGGAGCGTGATTTTGAAGCTAAAAAGCATGGGTATACTGCAAAGTCATATCTTGCTCTATTGGACGAGATGTTGCCTACTATTTGGGAACCAGGCTATGTTTTTATGCACGACAACGCTCCCATTCATTCTGCCAAAAGATTACCAACTGGTTGCAAGATAATGCAATTCCTTGCATGGAATGGCCACCATATTCGCCCGATCTGAACCCCATTGAACACATGTGGTTTCCACTTAAAGAAGGTGTCTACGACTTAAATCCGGACAATGAAAACTGCAAGGGATCGAATGATAAGAAGGAAGAGATTCTATGGGAAGCTTTAGAGCAATCATGGACCTTGATCAGTCAAGATATTCAAAGCGCAATAATAAAGAGTATGAAAGATCGAGTTGAGGAGTTTTGGAGGCAAAAGGGTGGTATACAAAATACTAAGCGATTTTTCTGCTCTTTTTGCATATTTTTATGAATTTTTACCATTTATTTAGCATATACTACATTCAAATCAATATAATTGTTTTTGTGTTGCAAGATATATAGTTCTTGGACAAAAGTGTACGTAATTTCCCGCAACCATGAAAATATATATAATAGTCAGAACATCACATTCGCACACAAAACAACCAAACATTAATCTTATTGCAAGATATTTAAATATGTCATAGCTAAATTGCACACAAATAAAAAAATATATTTTTTTTACATTAATAGCTGTATACCACCCCTTTGCCTCTAAAACTGCATTAACACGGCTCTCCATAGACCTTATTAACGAATCAAAAAATCCTGCCCTAGACTCTCCCATGCATCCTCCATTGCTTTATAAAATTGCTCTTTTAATTGACTTTTGGTCCCGTCAAATAATTCAAGGTCCGGATACAGCATATAAATACGCTCTTTCAGCTTAGCCCAGGCGTGTTCAATAGGGTTTAAATCAGGTGAGTATGGTGGCCAGTCAACAAGAGAAATACCATGCTCATCAAACCAGTTTTTAATAATATTGGCTGTATGAATAGGAGCATTATCTTGCATAAACTCCATACCAAATTCCCATATGGCAGGCAGATAATCTTCAATAATTTCCAAATAGGAGCGTGAAGAATACTGTTATGCGTGGGGGTCGGTAACGAGCTGAATGGGGCGCTACGGTGCGAAAGGGAGTGTCTATATAGGAGAGAAGATAGAGCCACGTATATTGCAGAACTAATCGCTGGCCTTCAAGAGTTCAGGCCCGCGGGTGCGAATATAAACACTTCGCACCTGACTAAGCATCTTAGCTAAGGATCTAGCTATCGCGCTTCCGAGCGCTCCTAACACTATCTTCCCCTCCCAAGAGGCTTCGCCCTCGAAGCCTTAAAGACTGTAGTATGAATATATGCGTTATGATGGGTAATGTGTTATAGATTCCAATCCCTTGAGTCCTTCCCATAATGGTTTGTGCGGTTGATCGATGTTTGGTACGATGTCTTGGAGCTTGGGTGAGTGTAGGTGTGTTTTCGCAGGTAGTCGCTCCATGGCAACAGTTCTGCTTCATTCACTGCAGTTTTTCGCCCGTTTGAGCTTAGTTCTGTTGTTGACGCTGAGCTTTTTGCTTCCTCTCTCTCTCTTTCTTTTTCTTCTCCTCTTCTCTTCTCAAACCACCAAACTTCTTGCGGTACGTGCGCACTCTTCTGCCTCAGCTAATAAGGGTAACGGCTCCTCCAGCGCTTTCTCGCATGTTTTGAGCTTACTAATATGGGTGTTTTCGCAGATGGCTCGCCGCAAAGCTTCGTCGCCTCCATCGGGAGAATCCGCCCCACGACGCCGTCGCCTTCTCCGTGGAGTTCGTCCTCGTTCATCCTCTGAAGACGATGTCGTTTTCACACCTGCGCCCCGCTCGGTTTCGCCGGAATGGGAGGGATTTCCATCCTCTCCTGCTTCGGCGGAGCCGGACGGAGTCGAATCGCCCTCTCCGGACGTGTCTGGTAAGTCCGGTGCGTTTATGTAAGGTAATATTGCTAATTTGTGCGAAAGTTTCATCGCCCCTTTGTCTCCATCGGCGGCTTCGGTCGTCCAGGTGCAGACTACCCCTGCGCCGGTCCATGTTGATACGAATGGTTTGCCTTTGGCCCAGGGGGTAGTCCCTGGTGCCACCGTTGCCTTGTTCGTTTGGAGCGAGATGCTGCGTCAGCGTGTGTTTTCTTGCCAGGTCGTTTAAACTGTGTTTATTGTACTGGCCAGCGACACCCTTGTGTCGCTCCGGGAGGCCGCTGGTCCTTTGGCTGTTTCTATGGTTACTGAACATCGCACGTTTGTTGGACTTCCCCAGTCTCGTCGCCCTGCTGCGCAGGAGAGGGCGGCTGGGCTGGTAAGGGAGTATAGACGTGCGGTTCGAAAACCTCGAATACCACGCGTGGATAGCAGTACATCTGTGCCTGTCCCTGAACGCACTCCATCGCATTCGCCCATGGCTCCCGTTCCTGCGACTCCCAGTCGCCTGGGTCGTTTTGTTGATGCGGTCCTTTCCCCTTCAAGGGTTGAGTTGTCTCTTTGGGTGGGAGGTCGGTGTTATTGGGCCGTTGCGCCATCTTGTCTTAGTTAAATAGAATGCTATTTTCCTTTAGCCATGTAGCGCGTACGTCGTCGGGTAACAGGTGCTGTATTAGTAAGCCAGATGTCCAGGGCTTCAGTGTCTTCGACGTGCGATCTTGGTTCCCAGGTATCGTCATCAGGTGGATAGCCCTTCCATCGCACCAAATAGCTTATGTTACCCACTCTTGTCGCGTTTTTCCTCCAGAATTTGATCAACTTCCCACCTCTTCGCCATTAATTGGTATTGGCGGGGTCGGCTCCATTGACCCGGTCGTTCATGGTATGGCTCCAACAAAGACACGTGGAAAACGGGATGCAGACGGCGATATTTTGGTGGTAGCTGAAGCTTGTACGATTGGTTTCCCCATGCATCAATAATGGAAAATGGGCCTAGCTGGCGGTGGTCTAATTTCGCATTAGGTCGCACTGTAGAGACATTCTTCGCCCGTAGCATGACTTGATCACCAATCTTGAATTGTCTGTCGATCCGACGCTTATTATATTGCCTTGCCATGGCTTTTTGCGCCTTTTCAAGCGCATCCTTGACCAAGGATCGCTTTTCCTTGAGCTGTGTTGCGCGCTCCAACGCTGCTGGCGCATGGCCAGTGGGATCAGGATCGACATTGATTCTCAGGCTAGGGACGAAGCCCATCAATGCTTCATGTGGGCTTGTCTTTGTGGATGAATGAATCGCAGCATTATATGTAACTTGTGCCATTGGCAGCCAGTCAACCCAATCATCTTGCAAGAAACTCGCATAGGCTCGCAGGTAATACTCTAATGTTTGGTTTTGGCGTTCTGTCTGACCATCTGTCTGCGGATGAAACGCAGTAGACAGTTTCCGCTTCGATCCTAGGCAATAGCACAGTGTCGACCAGTAGCTACTGGTAAACAGCGAGCCCCTGTCCGACACCCATCGCTTTGGATTACCAAACATG